TTTGCTAAATCTGTATGCCACCAACACCCATAGCGTTTCTGTCAAATTGGAGGTCATTATTATTAATAAAATAAAGTAACACATAAATTTGACATATATTTTCCTGTCTGGATGAAGTCAAAAAGGTTTTTTGAGAAGCACTAGGAAAAAATGCAAGACTTCAGGGAAAAGCTTTGATAAATCTGTGTGTCACCAAAACCCATAGTGTTGCTGTCAAACTTTGAGGTTTGTGGTTATTAATCTGACACATGTCACATGTTCAACCCCAGCAGAGGAGACCCACAGGCTGGAGATTTATTGAGATCATAACCTTTCCCTACCACAACTCACTTAACCCCAGCAATCTGCTTGATGGGTTTTTCCATTTCCAATTGTGTTTTGACAAAAATGGTCAGCTAAAAGGATTGACTTTTAAAGCTAAAGCATGCTCACATACAGACTATGATATATGTATGTATATACACACCAAGTAAGGAAACATCAGGAAGACATGCAAATTCCTAACCAAGAGGAAGTACAACTGGCTCACTGACTATCAGTACTGGAGTACGAGAAGGTAGTTTGCCATCTCTACTTCTCTTCTCTACACAAATGACTGTACCTTGAAGAAATCCTCTTAAATTTGCAGATATCATGATGCTGATTGGCCTAATATGCAACAATGGACCCATTTATAGGAAGGAAGTAAAACACCTGGTGTCTTGGTGCAGTTAGAACTTACAACTGAATGTCCTAAAGACAGTAGAGATTTGGCTGATAACAATACCTAAGTTTTTTTATTTGCTGTATTAATATAAGAAAAAAAATGAAATGAAATTAAATGAAATCTTTTAAATTAATTAAATCTAATTGGCAAACTTCTACAGTGATGAATGGAAACAAAAAATATATAATTTTTGTCAATCAACTGTAAAGTAGTAGCAGTAAAATACTAGTCAGACAACCCACCAACTAGTCGATATGCACATGCCTACTAAAGATCAAGTAACTCCTGAGAACTTTCAAGAACTTCAACTTGCCACTGGCAGTGATGGCCCGGTTCTACAATGGCATCACTAAATCCGTCCTCAAAACCATCTGATCTGGATCCGCCATGGCACTGGATCCAAGCAGACTGAAGATCCTCAGCTGCAATCTGCCCTCCCTCCAGGACCTTTATGAGTCAACATCCAGGAAGGGGGCAGTCAGAAAGCCCTCATGCTCTGATCACCACATCTTTCAGCTGGTGCCTTCTGTGAAGCGCCGCAGAACCAAAACTTCCAGAAACAAAACGGCTTTTTCCCACAAGCTGTGGCTTTCATTAATACTCCCTATTGCTTCACCACTAAAACAGAACACTACAATACAAAGAGATAAGAGATTTGACACACATACAGTACTGTATAGAGTATCACAAAATTGATATCACCAACATAAAGCCCCCAAATTAATGAGTAAAGAACTGATTAGACAAAACCAAATCCTTCTGTCAGACAATAGAGCTAAATTCTGCTCTTATATCTTATATGTGAAGCTGAGCACAAGGAATCTGAATAAGCGTTTTTCATTAACAGCTGTCAGATTAATATGTTCCTAACCTTTAATTCCTTCACTTGCCTGCCAGAAAATCGGGTGACCTGTTGCTTCAAACACTTAATTGCTTTAAATTCAGACAGTTGTGCACCAAAGGGTCTGTTTGAAGTTAATTCAGCATAATAATTAACATTAAGAGATGGAAGACACTAAGACAGTGTGAACTGAATATCCATTGTATTATTTAGCCATTCAGCACTAGTTTTTTGAGCTATTCGAACTTACTGTATAGGCCTGCTAAAGGTGAACTGCTTTTCTGTCGTTCTTGTTTATAAACAGGTTTCACAAACACTCTCCCCACCTGTTATTGGACGGACAGTTCCACCCACACTCACGCCATTGGTTAATAAGTCACTGTTGCCAGGCTGGTCAGGATGTTCAAACAAACAAAGCCGTTTTGAAAGTACTAAAGAGACAGAGTTACACTTTTTGGGGAAATCAACTGACAAAGAACATGTTTATAATTGAGCATATTAAATGAATAGATAATTTGATGAAAATGTACTCATTCTCAGGCCATCCAAGATGTAGATGAGTTTGTATTTTCATCAAATCAGATTTGGAGAAATTCAGCATTACATCACTTGCTCACCAATGGATCCTCTGCAGTGAATGGGTGCCGTCAGAATGAGAGTCCAAACAGCTGTTAAAACATCACAATAATCCACAAGTAATCCACATGATTCCAGTCCATCAGTTACGTCATGTGAAGTGAAAAGCTGTGCGTTTGTAAGAAACTAATTTATCAAGGCATTTTAAATTAAGACCATTACTTCAAGCCAAAACACCAGCCTTGGACTCTCATTCTGACGGCACCCATTCACTGCATTGATCCATTGGTGAGCAAGTGATGTAACGCTAAATTTCTCCAAATCTGTTCCGATTCATCTACATTTTGGATGGTCTGAAGGTGTGTTAATTTTCAGCAAATTTTCATTTTTGGGTGAACTATATTAACATTTAAAATTACACATTCACTCACTTTCAGTTCATCTAAGTTCATATAAAGGCATACACATTATTGCCAAAAATGCTTACTAAATACATTCGTAAAGAGGGCCACAGTCAGTCTTAGGGGGTTTGGAATCAAATGAGAGGGCGGACACGTGCAAGGGCAAGGCAATAAATTAGAGGAAATTAGCATCTCTGTCGCCAGAGGCGACTACCGAGACATATTCTACAGCTACAACAATACAGCAGGAGGAGGTGAGCCGCCTACTGAGTGTACATTATTGGAAGCAGACTGAAAGGTTTGGAGGTAAAGAGCATGCTTCCTGTGGTGACTGGCAGGGGTTAGTTTGGAGAGGCAAAAATGGTTTATGGGTGCAGTGCTGTGAAAAAACCCCACAGTTAGTGGCTCTACTTAACAGAATGGTACATCTGCCTCACTTGAATGCCTATTCATAGCTGTTCACGGGATATTTCCACTCAAGCACTTTTTTTTTGTAAATACCAAAAACTTGATGAATTTTAAATGTAACTGAAACATTTTGGAAGCAATCTTGCTACATATCCAGTGGTCCTAGTATTAAAGCAAACTCTGTGCTTCAGTTCTGTGTTTTGGTTGGTAACACTTCTAAAAGTAGTTTGATTTGTCTTGAAAATAGAGGTTTTTTTATTGGCATCTATGGTTCCATGAAGAACCTTTAAAATCCATGAAAACTTTCCATTTCACAAAATGTTCTTTATTGTACAAAAAAGGTTTGTTAGATTTTTAAAATGTTATTTAACGACATAAAAATATCTTAAATAACTGTTGACCGAAAGGTTCTTTGGGAACCCAAAATGGTCCTTCTATGGCATTGCTGTATAAACCTCCTTTTGGAAACTTTATTTTTAAGAGTGTACGTGCAGACACTCTGAAATCAGCTCAGGAGACATCTTTAAAGGAACACTCCACTATTTTTGAAAATAGGCTAATTTTCCAACTCACATAGTTCTTCCAATAAGCCTATTTTCAGGCGCTGCGTAATATCATTGCATCATGGTACGGCAGCAAAGTTCCTTGATTAAAAAAGTGAAAAAAAGCTAAAAGTGCTACCGCCAGACCCGGAGATTGGATTCGAAAACGGTAAAACTCAACTGTTTAACTCTAGGGGAGTTGGAAAATGAGCCTATTTTCAAAAATAGTGGAGTGTTCCTTTAAGACTAGAAACCATCTTTTTAACAGTATATATTTTTGAAGTGCAACTGGAGACCAATTAAATTGTTTTACAAGGTTCACAATCAAATTCAGACTATTTTTCAGACAGGCTATATAAGTGAACTTTTAAATGCTTCCAGAGACCGCTGTAGCACCAAGGGGGCTGTGCATTCATAAAAACCCTGTGGTGTCTAAAACCAAATACATGGACAGCTGATGGCTTAAATAAGATGTGAATACATCTAAAAGGACTTTCATTTATGGTCAACAAAACAGAGGAGATTTTATGTCACAAACGGCATTAGAAAGAGCTCGTACAGCACTGCAGCAGAACCTGAGACAGACCACAAGGAAATATAACATGATAAAAGAAAAAAGAAATCTACGTTATGTCTGTGAAAAGATCCAAGGTGACCATAAAACTCGCCATTCAAACCAGCCGCCTGGAGATGAAAAGCTAAGTTGGCAGTGCATTAAATAAGGCTACGGTTATTGCTCCTCAAGTTCAGTTCTAAGCCAGTGTTCAAACAGCACCAGCCCTATTTTAGAGGGCTAAATGTGGTTCTGTTCTCATGTTGTTTGGTTGTAAACTAGAGTGACAACCAAAATGTATTACTAAACAGACTCTTGTTTGGTGTGTGAACCTGTGCCGGGGTTTCCACTGCTGCTCTCTACAGAAAATAAAGTGATTTGTGAGTTACTACATGGAGCATTTCCTTTCATAACAGTCATTAATTTAACAAATTGTAAAAAAAAATAAAATAAATTGGAGTAGGCCTGTGAGAAGTATTACAAATTTTATGAACATAAAATTTTATTTACATAATGAGGGGGACATTTACATCCAAGTGGTAATTAATCTACACAGAGCAGAAACCAAAAAAGCGCAAAACTGTAGCTATAAACTGCTAAATCATCTAGAAATTTTAGGATTTTAGGATCAGAAGGTTTTTCAGAACTTCAGACCTTGTTACAAAGTGTTACCAACTGGCTGATCTCATACACTCTTAAAAGTAAAGGTTCTTTATTGGCATTGGCGGTTCCATGAAGAACCTTACACATCCACAAAACCTTTCCATTGGACAAAATGTTCTTTATGGTGAAAAAAAAATGTCAGTATCTAAAGTTAAGCAATACACCAGGTTTTGCCAAAGAATACTCCTTATCCGAGGTAAAATCACTGTAATGCAAAGCCTCTTGTGGTTTACTGGCCTGTCTGTATATCATCTGTTACAGTTGTAAAACACAGTAGAGTAAACAGCGAGAATACTTTGACATGGCCTACCTTCCATGACATAGACCAGGGAGCCCACATCGCCTTCTTTGATGATACAACTTTCTTTATCATACTCCACAGGGTACATGCAGTCCACAATCTCCTGAATCTGAGACAGCTCCAGGTTCTTCATGAAGTCATTGTCAAGAATGGCTTCTTTGATTAGTTCTTTAGACCTATGGATGACAAGGGTAAATTTAAAAAAAAACTTTTTCATGTTGGTTTTGAAAGTTAATGAGCAATAAAAATTAGGCCCTACAACTTATAGAAGTAAAAAAAAGTTCTCAAGCTTATTCAAGACATGTAAACAATCAGAAAGAAACAAATGACAAGCAATATAACAAAATAATAAAACAGAACAAAGACACAGATGAAGTGCTTTAAATTTTTCAGGCAGGTCTGTCTAATAATATTCAGGTAAGAAATACAATGGAAATTGAATAAAGTAATTAAATGTAAAATACAACACTGTATGAATTAAATATACATTAGTTTTTATTAAAGCTACAACAATTATTTGGTCAAAAGCAGTGGGTAATTTTCTCCATTTCTGCTGTGGTTTGATTACTATTTATGACACAGAAGCAGCAGGTATATTAGGCTGCTGTCACTTTAAGACCTAATATACTCACACACATCCTATTTTCTCCAAACTATTTTCATTCATCTAAGACATAACTGACTGTGTTTATGTGAATACCCACCACAGCGGGCATTTTGACATATTTTTGTTTGTATTTGACCTTCGCGGCATTCAGATGCTTTGCCTTATTGTGCTTTTAATATCAACACTCTTTTAATATCACACTCTTTACTTACTCATTTGTCCATTGCTCTAACATGTTAATAGCTTCCTGCCAACTGAAAAATACATGGATAGATTTACATACAGACAAAAATAGGATACATTTGGTCATGATCTCTGAGATACACTTGAAAAGCAGATTGTGGACTTCTTCAAGATCAATCACGATATAAAATCATCAGATCGCCCACCCTGTTTATAAAACAAAAACAGATCAAGAAGTTTTTGAAAACCCATGAGCAAAACCACTGGGTTCCTCCGAAAGAACTGAAATCTCACAGATCTCTCTTTTTTTTCTTGAAATCCCAGACACCTCCATTCAACACCACAGCGTGTGAGATTACTCACAGAAAAGTGTCAACTGCTGAAATAATCAGAGAGAATTCCCCATACCTGGGTTTGTGAATGCAATCAATACCTCACCACGCCAATGGATGAATTCCTTCGTATGGAGTGCATCTGGGCTCTACGTGATGACTCATTTTCATTGACAACATCACATTTTATTGGACAATGCTTGTCAGATGGACTTGCTAGTGCCACTGGATTCTAAGTTCCCTTCCACAAATCTATTTTTAATCATGCACTGGGTATATTTGATTATTCAATCACTGCACAAGCAGATATGCAGATTTGAAAATATTGGATCTTTTTTCTCCTTTGATTAGAAATGGCAGCGTGGCAGAGATGATGGCAAGAATGGACCATCTGTGCAAGAGTGCACGAGTGCTGGAGCCCGAGGAGGACATGGGGTGGACAGATGACTGCTCAGATACACTGCGTTACTACCACTCACACACTCCTGCTGGGTACTAATGTCCCATGGGCGGATGATAAGACCTCAAGATCTGTGGATCTGCCTGGACTAATGACATTAATGACATGGATTCGTCATCCATGTGGGCACCAGCGCTACAAACAATGGTGTTTTTGTATAAAAAACTGACCTCTCACTAAATATAACTCAATGATTCTTGAGATATGAAACAAAACAAGTACCACGATTCTGCCCACCAATACTTGGGAGATGATCACTAAAATATTAACATGTTAATTTATATCAAATTATATTATATTATCACTAACTATACTATATGCATAACTATAGTTATATTCAAAGATAACTAAGACCACTATTTAGTAAGCAATTTGTAGGTTGATTAAACTAAAAAGTGTAAAAAAAATTGTGGCACTAATGTACTGTAAATTAGTAAGCAATTTGTAGGGTAATTAAACTAAAAAGTGTCAAACTTGTGGCACTAATGTCTGAACTAAATTATTTTTATTACTATAAAAAATCTAAACGACGGTGGGGGTCGGTGACGCGGTGGGCAAGTGACGTAACCGGTGTTGCGGCTTAACACCGGTATCACCGTCAACACCGTCTATCGCGGCAAGCCTACTGTAAATATGTCCTTAGTTTTTGTCTTTACTTATTAAAGTGTTTTAATATCAATATCAACTCAAAATGTGATGTAAATCAGTTGTTTGAGATTTTTAGACAATTATCCAAATTTTAACTGCCAAGTTAGCTAACATCACCAGTAAAACAACTACTAACGTGTGTTTAATGAAATATGTTTTTCATTAACACTTTTAAATTATTTATTAAAGTGAATGCTAAATTTAACAGTATTTTGGCTTTTTTTCTTTATATCAGATGGTGCTGACACAATTTGATTGGAAAAACACATATTTTGTAAGAAATGTATGCAAAATTTTGTAAAAAATAATGCACTTTATTTCACTTCTTGTCCCAGTACTCAAAAATCAGTGAACTAGTCATCTTGAAAAAGACCAAATACACCTCATGTGTATCGTGTTTGACTGTGGTCAGCTAATAAGACTCTTGAGTCATCACTGCTAATAACTGTTCAAATCAAACTCATAATGGCAACAGCAAATTTGCATGATCATTTGTAGGCATATGAATTCCAAGGGGAACATGAGATTGAAACTAATAGAACACTTATAGGATTATAAACTCATTTCATTTGCTGTTTTCTTATCCCCCGATCGTGCAATTGTCTAAAGAAATATGGCCTCAATTATTCCTTCTGTCTGACGGTGAAAGAGGGATTAACAACAAATCATTCTACTTTACATACTTGATGAAGACATTACATTGAGAATATAGCATTGCCACATAGACATGGGCAGCCATCAACCAACAATAATGAGAGGTGTAAATAAGACAAGGGGACAAAAAAACAGAAGACAGGTAAGACTTGATCACTCAAAATGGTATAGGTGCACTCTAAGAAAAGTCTATAAAAATAGGCCATAATGCACTGTTAATATGAAGCAAGTTTGTGTATTGATTTTTTGCAGGTGTTTAACCCATATTTTGAATTACACATTGCTATGAGTGGTGTTTTAGGGTTAAAGGTCAGGAAACGTAACGGATAATGTCCTGGAATTGTCTATGGATTTTTTTCTTGCAGCGTGATGCAGTATCAATAGCTCACATTCCCAAATAAAATATGATATTAAATGACATTAACAAAACAAAGACTTTCAATTACGATATGATTGCTAAAGTGAATTATAGTTTTATAACATGACAGTATGCACAGGAAGCAACCTATTTAAAGGTATAGTTCACCCAAAAGTGAAACTTCTGTTATTAATTACTCATCCCCATGTCGCTCCAAACCTGTAAGACCTTCGTTCCTCTACGGAACACAAATTAAGATATTTTTGATGAATTCCGAGAGCTCTCTGACCCTCCCATAGACAGCAAGGATCCTAACACGATCAAGGCTCAGAAACGTAGCAAGGACATCGTTTAAAAAATCCATGTGACATCAGTAGTTCAACCGTAATTTTACGAAGTTACAAGAATACTTTTTGTGCACAAAGAAAACAAAAATAACGACTTTATTCAACAATTCGTCTCCTCGAATTGAAATAAAAAAATATCTTAATTTGTGTTCCGTAGATGAACGAAGGTCTTACAGGTTTGGAACGACATGAGGGTGAGTAATTAATGACAGAATTTTCATTTTTGGGTGAACTATCCCTTTAACTAGTGAATCAAGATATTCAATTAGATCAAACGTAGGCACATAGGGATTCTGCACATTTTTCAGTTATGATGCAATGATTTTTTAGTTTTGAATCGGGTCACTGAAATGGACAATTTGAACTGACTCATTAGTGTTGCCAGATTGTGCTAGAAAAACACAACAATGAATGAACAAGCCTATAATAAACTTAAATCCAAACTTCTTTTCTTGGGAATAAACCACATACCAAAGTGATCTGCGCCTGCCTACTTTATGTGCCTACTTTATGAACTCCATAAACTGGATCGCTTTATGAACCAAGCCCAAACAATAATTCCAAAGATGCTTAAAAAGCACCGCAGCTTATACAAAGTGGACATGGAAACACTTTAAGAGTTTGTTTGTTTTGTTTTTGAATGACCAATAATGTATGAAACATCACTAATTTCTATGATAAAAAATAAAAAATGTAGCCTGGTGAGTAAACTAAAAAATGTACTAGCCAATGTCGATTTCATTGTCAAGGTGTCTGTAGAGGTTTGCATTAAAGTTTTCGATCAAAATTTAACTACACTGCTCTCTGCGTCCCACGCGATACCATATCAGACTGTTTGTATCATGACCTATTTTGAATAGCAAATCACTAATCCATAAATCATTTACAAGTACTCCACTTAGCAGATCACGATCAGAGGCCAGGCCACAAGCATAAAGCCCGCTGATACTGTATCTTATAGTGTAACAGTGTTCTCATGCAAGAGTGCAATTCCTTCTTGTCCTTTTAGATTCTCAGTTCCCAAAGACTTATTTACCAAAAAAAAAAAACTCATGTGGACTATAAAGCCTACACAGTTTCCAGAAGAAATTAACAGAAACTGTGATCATTAGCCCATGATCAACATCAAACCCCGTTTCCTCATGTTCATTAAAACAAACTAAACGGCCATGCACCAAACTTTCTCTTTGAGCTCAGAGCTGCAGGTGGTGGGCAGATTTCAAAGTCTTCAGAGACGGACAACAGTATTGCTCTGAAGGGGTTACCATAGCAAAAAGCGCAGAAAATGCCACCTCGCATCAGGAGCCTCAATTTAATCAGAGTCTTTGATATTTGAGACATCATTATGGAACCTGTAAGACCTTCGTTCCTCTACGGAACACAAATTAAGATATTTTTGATGAATTCCGAGAGCTCTCTGACCCTCCCATAGACAGCAAGGATCCTAACACGATCAAGGCTCAGAAACGTAGCAAGGACATCGTTTAAAAAATCCATGTGACATCAGTAGTTCAACCGTAATTTTACGAAGTTACAAGAATACTTTTTGTGCACAAAGAAAACAAAAATAACGACTTTATTCAACAA